ATACTACTCAGTGGAGATTCTACCTTCCTTCAGGCACTCTGGATCTAGGTTCCCTCTTGAAAGCTTGTAAGCCAGTCACTTCTTGCCTTTGTAGCCCCCCCTCCCCTTATTTTTGGTAGCCAATGTCCAAGTTGCCCATCCCTGTCTACTCTGTGTGTGGAGAGGGTGGGAATGATTCTTGCTGTAAGGACTTGTTCCCTCTTTTGAGCTACTGCTTCCATAGGTGTAGATCAAGTTCATCAAATTGTATCAGAATACTTTTTTTCCTCTTCTTTCTTCTTCTGAGAGCCTGTCCTTTTAAGAGGTTAAGTTGACTGAGGGAGGTCTTGGGTACCCTCTCCCCTATGTCGTATTTAATAGTTGGCAAGCAGACTGTGCCCCCATTCCAAGTCTCTAAAACAACATTGCCAGGGGACAGAAGAAACCACAATTTTCAGAAGGATTTAATGTAGGTGGGATAAGGACCCCAGTCACTTGTCCCTTGAAGAATGACTGTCAGAAGTGGGCCATGTCCAAATGATGGTATGGTGCAAATAGTTAATTTGCTCGGTTGCTAACTGAAAGGTTGGAAGTTCGAGTCCACCCAGAGACTCCTCAGAAGAAAGGGCTGGCAATCTACTTCTGGAAAATCAGCCTTTGAAAATCCTAGGGAACACGTTCTACTCTGATGCACATGGGACCACTTAAGTTGGAGTCAACTGTACAACAACTGAACTGAAGCAACACACATAAGATAGTATCACACGTGTACCAGGCTCCTAGCCAAATACACATGTAGACACTGAGCTTGTCACATGCTCATGAGATCCCATTCACATGAGAGCCTGGCCACAGGCTCACACATCTGTTAAACCCACACATGAGGCTTCTCGTGGCTCTTATCCCAGAAAGGTGCACCGCACCCCACCAGGTCCCCACGGGCTGGGAGGTCCCGTAATGAATCAGGAAATCATCATCAACTGTCTTCCCGCTGGCCCCACTACCAGCCTATGACTCAAGACAGAACCCTAGCCTCCTAGTGCCAGAGCCCAGACCACAGGCAAGCATCCCCTGCCATACTGCTCTCTCTTCTTTTAAACCCAGGGCACACCCTTCAGTCCTTTAGCACCTCACTACCTCAGAGCTTCCCACAGGGCAGCATGGAGCAGGAGTTAGCAAGGGGCTCCTCAACACTGACGGAAAACACAAATCCCAGCCTATCATGCTGTGTCCTGAGTCTGTCAGCAGCCAAGTTTGGGAACCAGAGTGGCAGAGAAAAATTGGGGCCACCTTACCACCAGCAGGCACATGCAGGGCTCTTGTGTATTCATGGGTTTGCATTTGGCTCTGTGTGCTGCACTGGGAGGCAGCAGGCACACACAACAATGGATTTGTAAATCCTATTCACATTAATCAGCACACAGCCACACATGTATACATACATGCTTGTGCCTCGATACAATCTCAGGCCTACCAGCCCACCATAGCTCCTCCAGAGCTCAACTTTCAAGACCATGACTCTATACTCACACATAACTCATTCATGGACACAACTAGTGTCTACACACATATTTACACATGTACATACACATGCACATTGGGAATGGTGAGGGCTGGAGCTAAGAAGGTATGGGTGGGTCTTGGTGTTTCTTAATGGGCATGAGAACACAAAGAAGGACACCTTATTCCTGTTAGCCCTCTTTGGATCACCTGGGATGGACCAAATGGAGCAGGGTCTGAGGATGCTGGCACAGAAGCACCAAGCTGGCCTGAGTAAGCCACTGTGTATTTCAGTGGGCATGATCCTCATTGCAGTTGCTGTGAGTGGCACCCAGTGGAGCAGAAGGCACAAGAGCACAGGGTTTCACAGACAGAAAACAGAACTTGATGGGGCCCCAACCCTCTGAGTCACACAGCTTTCCCAGAGCCCTCTAGGCTCCTCTTGCACATTGGGGAAGAAAGCCAGCATGCCTCAGAGGCCAAGCTCAAGGAGGAGGCAGATGAGGACACCCCACCTCCTCCCAGGGAGTCTTGAGCAAGGTGTGCAACTCACCTGGGCGGGAGGGCTGAGCTAGGGAAGGGGCCTGACGGCCCATCTGCCCTGTGAGGTCAGAGCTAGGGGAGTGGGTTCCCAGGAGAGGGAAGGGCTGAAGATACATGTCCCAGCCTGCTGGACCACAGGGGCTGGCTGGGGCCCAGTAAGGGGTGGGGGTGACACGCCTTTCATTTCCTGTACCCCAAACTTTTTGCCTGAATGAGAGTAACCTGAACCAGCAGAGAAGGAGACATGGGCTCTGTTGTCAGTGACTCAGAGGTGAGGACATGGATAGGGAGGAGTAGAAGCCCCCCACCCCAGCCCTCTTATCCTCTTCAGAGCCTCACAGAGGCGTGGTGGAGGAGCAGATCAAAACAGGAAAGTTTCGAAAATACTTCCTCCCACTTTTCTACAATTCCCAGGATGGGTGTAATGTTTCCTATTTGACAGATAGTAAAACTGAGGTTTGGAGAGAAGTCACATGCTGAATTCTCACCTGCTAAGTATTCACACTCCGTGGTGATAGGGAGAAGTGAAGAGGGTTAGAGAGCCCAGGGAACGCAGGACTAAGGCACAAGGGAAGTGGGAATCCAGAAACCCACTGAGTCTTTCAAGTTCAATCTCCCGTTTCCAGGATGTGCCCCACCACTTTAAGGCCACTGCTGGACACTATATCTGCTTCTGGGCCTTGAGAGTCAGGGGCTGGCTCTGGACTAGAGTGGAAATGGAAAGAAGAGATGAATTACCCTGTTATGAGCATCCCTAGACCAGAGGGAGGGCAGGTGACTCCTCCTTCTGTTCCCAACACAGTCACCCCTGTATTCGGACAGGCGAAATGGCAGAGTCCAAGAACATAAACTTCCTCCTCAGGCACCTCCAGCCCACTAGACGTTAGGGAAATCTGAGGACTCTGGACCCACTTCTTGGTGTCCCTATGCTGCCCTCAGCTCCCTTTGAGGACAGCAGAGAGGGTCATACTGAGGAGGCAGAGGGATGAGAGGGAGGCCTAGAAGCCTTGCTAAGTAGGATCCAGAGTAGCATGTCTAGGCTGACTGAGGCAGCAGCCCCTTACAGACCCAGAGTCTGAGTTCCTGGCCTGCCTTGGCCACTGACCAGTGTGTGACATGGGATAGTCATCTTCCACCGCCTCTCAGAGCCTCAGTTTCTTTATCAGTCACCTGAGCAGGTTTCATCCCCACCTAAGGGTCTAAGAATCAAATAAGATTCTGGATTTTTCAGACTTTGAAAAAAATGTATGAGGGGACTTCAAAAAGTTTGTGGAAATTTTCCATTATCTTTTAACTCAAGTTTTCCATGGACAATTGAAACTCCCTCATATTTCATAGTCAAGATGGGTGGGAAGGTTCATTTCAGAAGCTGCCTGAGCCACATGTCCTCACGTGTGAATTAATATCCATGTGTGTGCATATGTGCATGTATGTGTGCCTGTGGGGGAGTGAGGGCCCATGCGGTTTGTATATCCATGGAGGTCTGTACGTATACTTGCGTGCCTCTGTCTGGATCTGTCAAGGAGTCGGAAAAGAACAGGCCAGATGCATGGCAGCCTTGGAGGGAGAGGAGTTAGTGACCCAGATCAGGCCTAGGAGGCCTGGAAGGGTATGGTTCACATCTCAAGGACCAGTA